ACTTACAATTAAAAATTTTAGGAGCTCGGATTTCAGGATTTCTCAAGATGATTTCAAGGTTTCAGGATTGAGAATCTCAATTTTAGGATTGCAAAACTAATTCTAGAATCCAAAATTTCAGGATTTATGACTACAAATTTCTAAAATTGTGGATTTCAGAAAGTTAATATTTAAGAATTCAAAAATCAAAATTTTAGTATTCAGGATTGATTACAATATTTAGTACTTACTCAAAAATGATGACTTAGGGTTTAAATACTTATAATTTCTGATTTCAAGTAATTTCAGGTTTAGGTGTTCATAATTAGACATTTCAGAGAGCCAGCTTTGAGGATCGATTTCTATAGGGTTCTTTGATTTTAAAATATTAGGATATGAGGATTGAGAGTTTTAATATACGCGATTTCAGAATTTAGAATTTGAGAACAATGTCATTCTTGTGATCTCAGTATATTTAACCCTTTTAATTTGAGATAGAATATGGGATGTCAAAAATTCAGGATTCGTAATGAATTTTAGGATTCTGTTCCCGCAAAGTCGTTGACTAAGAATGTTTGGATTTAATATACAAAAAAAGAAGACATTAAATTTGGGATTTAGAATACAAACTGAACTTTTAGCAACTGTAATTTAAAATGTTCTGAAATTTACAATTTTTAATTTAAGGATTTTAGGCTTTGAAATTCCATCACATATATTTTCAGAAATAAAAATTCCGCAAAGGACTTGAGGTCAAAATTTAGCTTAGCTATTCCGAATTTCTAGATCTGCGAACTGAAGATTTTAGATTTCAAAATTTTATAATTCGTAGTTTTAAATTCTTTCGGTTTTCATAGTAAGGGTTTATGAGGCACTTTGGCATCAGGAGCAGGGAAAAATTTAAGTTTTAGTATTAACATATAAAATTTCTATGGCAGTTTTGTGTTCTAATAAAAATTTGCGAGTTTATAATTTTAGTTACTGTTACGTATTTTTCATTCTTAGTATTTTAATTTTTAGTATTAACATACAAATTTTCTTTGGAAAATTTATGTTCTATTAAAATTGAAAGTTTATAATTTCCAAATTACTTACTTTTATATTTCTCATTCTTAGAATTTTCACATTTCGAAATCTTTTTCAGAATGGCGAAGACTAACTCATAACAAACATCTAAAAGGCTAATTGTCAGTAATTAATTAAGCTATTTGTTTTACAGCTTCTTTTAGTTAAATTTAAATGATTTTCTTTGTTAATTTTTTGAGAACACTCTGAAACAGGTATTTAATATTTATGAGGACAATAAGTGTTTGATTTAATTATACCTTTTTTATTTATTTCAAGTTCGTAAAATATAACGTCGACAAGAAAAAGTAAATAAATGCGAAAATGTCAACTGACAGTTTGTTTCTAAAGAAATTTGTTATTATAGATTTTATTTTAGATGTAAACCGATGAGAAAACAAATTTTTATTTATCGATCTAAATCTTTTACTTCGCTGACAAATATATGTATAAAAAAAAGCAATCACTTATTTACAATTTTGTTAAATTTTTTTTTTTGCTTTTTTATGCGTGCTTTTTTTATTTTTGTTTAAGAATATAGCAAAACGTATTATTACTAAAAATCTTTTTTCAATAGAACCCACAACAGACGAGATTTCCTTAATGCCCATTTGCACCAACGTTTAAGTCAGGTACTTAAAATTTAAGCTTTTCTTAAAACTAAGAATGCGTTGCACCAACGGTTAACTCTCTCTTAAAGCCTTCTAAGAAATCCTTAATTTAAGTGCCCGTTTACCTGTGGCTTAAATTTGTAAGCAGTGCTTAACGAGACACAACGATACAACGCATGTGCGGTAGCCATAGTAACGGAACAATACTTCGTTTCTATTGGATGATGGTTTTGGAAATCGAAAATTTGCAATTTTGCAATCATTTCAGCCATTTGCCATTTCAACCTTTCAACAGTAGCAGCGTTCGTGAGTGTTTTGTAATCAGCGGTGAAAAGTGTGGAATAAAGTTCTAACAAGACAAAAAATAATATAAAGAAGGTATGTACCACAATTACAACGTTTTGTTGTAAAGAATTATGTACATATGTTTTATTTTCAGATGAATAATACAAAGCGCCAGCGTGGAGCAAATTTTACGGCAGATGAAAAGACCTTTGTCTTAACATTAATCAGTGAACAGCGTCATATTATAGAAAATAAAAAAACGGACGCTGTTACAAATAAGGAGAAGCAGCGGTGCTGGGAAGAACTAACGAATAAATTTAATTCATGTAGTCCTAGCGGTGCCATGAGGAGTGTAACCTCATTACAAAAATTTTACACAAATAAAAAAAAAGAAGTGCGAAAAGAAGTGGCCGATAAAAAAGTGTTTATGCGAAAAACAGGAGGTGGTCCTTCATCTTCAAAATGTGAGGATCCATACCTGCAGCTAACGTTAGCCACCATGGATGAGAATTCAGTGTATGGACTGGAAACTCAATACGGCGGGGATAGTGAATTATTTGTAAGTTGAACAGCATCATAAAAATTGGTCTTATTTTTTTTTTTTATAGCAAACTATAGGTGAAGAAGATAACGAAGACCATGAAAACGATAATGTGGTGCCCATTGCCACCTCTTCTCCACACATACCTGAAGCAATGGATGAGGTTCACAAAACAAAAAAACGAGTGTTTTCTGATACATATGACCAAGGGGAAGAAAATGCAAATGTAAGCTTTTTCTGTGTTGGTTATCATCTGTTATATATATTAATTAATTGCAGTTTAAAGCTGACTGGGGTGATTATAAAGTTGAACACCTGAAAAAAAAGAAATCAAAGGAGTTACAAACAGTCATTAATAGGAGGAGGCCAACAATAACAGCACTACATTCCAGCCATTTGTCGAAAACTTACGACGAACTAGCTACAAAGAAAATGGAGTTAGTTGAGGCACAACTCGAAGGACAAAAACATGACGAAGAAAGAAAGCAAGTTGAATTTTTGCTTCGAAAGCAAATTTTAGAACTAGATATTGAAATAAAAAAGGAGCAGCTGAGAAAACTGAAACAGGATAATACGGAAAAACAATAAAATATAAAATAAAATATTAATAAAACATTTATTTGTTAAATTTATAAATTTCCAAAAAAATTTGTTATAAAATTTCTTCTAATTTCACTGCCCCTCCTTTGGTTGTCAATAACATTGACCTCTGGTATTTGACCATCTTCAATAAGTCGCTGCAGTTCATGCTGGTTAATGTCAGCTGGGAGAGGAGGTTCATCTTCACCCATTTGTCGAGCTATATTATGCAGGACTGCACACGCAATTATAATACTCAAAACAGTTTCTTTTTTTAATCGACATCCATATGCTAGCACAGGAAATCTTCGTTTGCAGACACCAAAAGTTCTTTCGATGACATTTCTTGTACGAATATGAGCTTCATTATACAACTGCTCTTCTTGAGTGTGTGGATTTAATAATGGTGTAAAAAAATAGTGTCTTACACCATAGCCACCATCACCTGAAAACAAATGCAATGTATTTTTACACATATTAAAAACTGAAACTTACCCAATATTATACAATTTGGATAATCTCCATTCTCAAAATTTGCTCGTAAAATCGAGTTATTGAAAATGGTCATATCATGAGTAGAACCAGGCCACCGAGCAACTACGTTTGTAAACTCCATATTCGCATTACACATGGCTTGAACGTTAATTGAAAAATAATCTTTCCGATTGCGAAAAACTTCAGCATTTTCTCCACCTTAAAAACGTTCCAATGAAAAGAATGTGTTTTTGGTTTTTTAAATCTTTACCTGGTGATTCAATTTTGATATGAGTGCAATCAATGGCCCCAATCACTCTTGGGAATCTCGCGATGTCAAAAAAACCATTTTGAATAAGCCTTTGCTCCATGAGAGTTTGGGGCATCTTAATAAAATGGTGGTAAAGCCTTGCTATAGCGTCCGATACACGTCTAATTATTCTCGACACAGTTGAGATGTGCATTCCCATATAGTCCGCTACTGTACTCAAATGGCCCCCGCTTGCAAAGAATCGTAATGTAGTAAGCAGCTGATTTATAGGTGACACCGCCTGATTTCTGTAATGATCAAATCATAATATATTTACACATTAAATTTTTTAACCACTTTTACCTGTCTGTAGGAAATTCCAAACGTTCTTCAATTAACGTTAATAAATGTAAAACTGTTGGTTTTGTTAGTCGAAATCTTTGGAAAAATTGAAGCTCTGGTAAACCATAGAAATGATCAGCTCTAGTGTACATCTGCCGTGGAATTCCCATCTCAACAATTTCAATGACTTCTAAGTCATCCTCGTACGCGTCGAACACATCCATTTTTTAAACACACATTCAACACCACATAAAATTAATTCAACAATATCACAACTACATACGCGCGGTGTCATTGACTGTCGTACACACAACAAACTAACCTAAAATTTTTGATGTTCCAATAACAACAAACGTCAGTGTTGCCAATAGAAATGAAACTTTTACACAATTCCCCAACTAAGTATTACTTGGTTAAGTAGAGTCTAAGCAGTGACGGTGCAACAACTGTACAATTTAAGAAGTAGTTACTTTTAAGAATTGCTTAGCTAAGCAATGCTTACTGCTAACGTTGGTGCAAATGGGCATAAGTTCTACATTATGAAATGTGGCCAAATAAAATGTAATCCCTTTTGCTTAAACAGAGGCACTAAAATCCTTATTATCGTCACGAAAAATGCCAAAACACCCCGTCAACCCAGCAAAATCCCGTCGAAGCCATAATCCGCATTCCTCCTCTCCACGATTTCGTGCCTCCGTCTGCAAAACTCCCATCTAATCCCCATTAACATTTCCGCCCGATTTCCCTTCAACCCCTCGCCCGACCCTCCACACAATTGTAGTATCGTCTTACCCGAAAACGCCATATACGCACACAATGCCCCCGTCTCGCCCCCCGCCATCTCTTCAGAAATATGTCAGTTATTCTTCCCACTCTCTGCATTGTTGAAGAGAACCTCGGTCTGCTCTGCCTCTCCAGTGTATAAAAGAGGTCGAAAGTGAGCAGACGCGCGTTCCGTGAAAAAATGATCTGACGATGCCGGCTTACACCGACCTGGAGGGCCTAGCCGCCGCGAGATCGTGCAAGAAGTGGCTGCTCTTCAGCGCCGCGGCCGCCTTCACCGTGGGCCTCGTCTTCGGCCTGCTGATCGCAGCGGTGTACCTCCAGCAAGCCGCGCCGGAGCCCGCCGCGAGGAGCGACAACGGCAGCGAGTACGTCTCGTTCGTGGACAACCAGAAGGAGCAAGTGGTGCAGGGAGGCATCTACTGGGGGCCCAAATTGGAGCGGGCGTTACCGGAGGGCTACGAGCGCAAGAAGCACGCCTTCTGGGAGAAGTACCTCAAGGGCAGCGTCGCCGTGAAGCTGGAGCATGGCTGCGGCAGGATGCAGAACCGGATGGTGGTGTTCCAGGACGGGCTGAAAGGGTGCGTGAGGTACCGCCAGAACACGGACCAGATCCAGGGGGAGCTCTTCAGTTTCTACCTCGCGCAGATTTTGAATTTGCCGAATTTGGCACCGTCGAGTGTGACCATCGTGGATTTGAAGAGCCCGCTGTGGTCGAATCTGGCCAACGACATTTCGGCGGCCCAGTGGAGCAACAACAAACCCGTGGTGGTGACTCAATACATCGACAATCTCCTCTACGCCCCGATTCCGCCCCTGTTCAAGCCGACGGAGCGCCACCTCAACAAGTACGACGTTTTGAATATGTCGACGGTGCTTCCAGAGGAGCAGCAAGTCAAGGGCTTTGTCGAGCTGGCGCAGTGGTCCGATTTGATCGTCTTCGACTACTTGACGGCGAATCTCGATCGCATCGTCAACAACCTGTACAACTACCAGTGGAATGTGAACATTATGGACGCTCCGGCACATAACCTCGCCAGACGGGCCGATACGGACCTGCTGGTGTTCCTGGACAACGAGTCGGGGCTGCTGCACGGCTACAGACTTCTCAAAAAGTACGAAGTCTACCACAATATTCTCTTGGAGAATTTGTGCGTGTTCAGGAAGAGCACGGTGGATGTGATTAAGAGACTTAAAAACAAAGGCGACATCGGCGGGTTGCTGAGGGACATGTTCGAGAAGAACAGTGATGTTGTCAAAGACTTGCTGCCGATGTTGCCAGATAAAAGTGTCAAAATCCTGAACGAGAGGATCGATAAAGTGTACGGACAGATCGTCAAATGTGAGTCGATGTTTGCCGAGACGTAGCTCAATTTTTCTATTATTTATTTGTTTGTTTTAATTTATTTGTGCCGAAATGTGATAGACGAATCTAGTACGAGGTGTTGTACAGTGTGATTCCGAAGTAGACCAAATATTGTAAATATGTACGATATTATATGTAAATTGTTGTAAATAAGCGACGGCTGAATAAAACTTGGAATGTATTTGGGTGTTTGATTCGATGGGTTCGTCGCTTTGGGGCGTATAGAAGGCTCTCAAGGTTTGTGAGTTTATAGCGATTAATGTAAGTTTTTTTAGTCTATGTTTGACAGTTTATGCTAGCATTTTGTTGTTTTTCCCATCGTTGAAATCTCCGGTCTTTCGTTCAAATTGCTTCAGCTTCTTTCGCAAAATTACTAATTTCCCATGGGATACATTTTTGAGGAACTGATAAGTCTTGTAGCGGATGGTCCAGCAAAAAATGTTGCGTGGGTATCAAACTGATTGTCTTCATGGTTTTTTTTTCATTCAGGAGTTCTGATTTTCGTTTAGTCATCGGCGTCCAGATTTTTCATCAATGTTTCTTCAAGACTTGTATTGTAGGTAAGACATTAATTTTCACTATTTCAAGTTGTATTATCTAATTTAATTATTGTTATTAAATTTAATTAACTGTTACGGCGACGATTACTTAGCATATAATTTTATTAATTTTAAACCCACGGTCCCAATTTTAATGACTATGTATTATCGAAGAATCTTTAAAATGTGGATGGGGATTTTTGATTTCATTTGAAATAAGAAGTAGTCTTATTATTTATTCCACAAGTTTTAGTCACCCAATTTTATCAAATTACATTTTATTTAAAAAGAGTCATGTTCAATTGGTATATGGTACCAGTAACAATTAATTATTTCATTGAAGATAAGTACCTACCTAATTCTTTTTTACGAAAATAAAAATCTTCTCAAATTTATTTTAATGGTAGATAATAATTTTAAAAGTTTAACAAATTGTTAGACAAGAATATTATAAATGAATGTTACTTGTGTGTTCTTATTTTCGTTGCTAAGTTGCAAATATACCAAATACAAATCTCGAAAATCAAATTTATAGTACCTACGAACAAAATGTTAAATGTAGAAAATGTATTTTAATGAAGAAAAATATCGCCATCTTTATTCTTATCCCATCGGATGGCTATTATTTTGCTAGTTCAGTTGACATTATTAATGATATAATGATTATGGCAAGCTGTTTTTGTTTACGAAATACAAAATGATTCATTTATTTTGACTCTAGAACATTTTAAAATGTATGTTCCTGTCAGTTAATGTGAAAATAAGCGTTTTATCTTTTTTAAGATTTTTTAATATTTATTCATTCGATATTAATTAAATTTTGACTAAAATAATACATTTATTACTTTAGAGAGATATCAATAAATGTGAACAAATTCAGAATTGCTTACGTAGGCTTAACTATGGTTCAACAAAGTTTTTTAATGGTTGAGAGGTTTTCTGTGAAAAGTCTGTCAATCCAGAAATATGTTTGGTTGTCTTCAAAATGCAGTGGTTCTTGTACCCATTTTAAACCATGAACGTCATCTCCAGCCCTTGCATTACAGCCCAGAATCACCCGCAACCGGAGATTTCAACGAGAAGTGAGAACAGTAGACCATGATTTGTTGTAGACCACCAACAAGAGATACCAGAATGAACCCTTTGAGGGAAACTGAAGCTGCAACATGGTGGTCTTTCGACAAAACAGTGATCAATTTCATGAAATTGTTCAGTCTTTACTTCATATAGAAGGAAATCGTGCGTTTAGAACCGAATGCTTCTCTTGCTTTGCTAGTGTTTGGTGGTTACGTCTTCCATAAGCTCATGCTTCTCCCATCAAAATAAATCAAAAGTTTTGTCAAACATTATGTTCAGATCGAACACCGTGAAATGTGACGCCATAACCAAGCTTACCACACACTCTATGTCTATGGTAGAATTTATGTTGTTCGGGAGGAGCCTGGTGATGTGATTAAGATTTAAAAAAGAGGAAATTGCGTCGGCGTGGACACGTTGATGAAGAACAGTGATGTTGTCAACGACTTGTTGTCGATGTTGTCCGATAAAAGTATGAGACCAGGATTTATAAAGTGCACAAAAAATTGTCAAATCTTTTCTATTTATTTTTGTGTCGAAATCTGACAGACGAATCTAGTGTTAGATGTTGTACGGTAATTCCAAATAAATCAAGCATTGTATGTACATTGCAAATTGTTGAAAATAAACAACAGCTGGATCAAAACTGTAATGAATTTGAATGTTTGATTAGATGGGTTCGTCTGCTTGCGGGTTTATCGAAGATTTTCAAGGATTATTATTATTATTAAGTTTTTTATTCAATGTTTAACAATTATGGTAGCCTTTTGTTAATTCACTTATCACTGAAATCTGTGATTTTTCATTTCAACTGAGCCAGCTTGTGTGATGAAAATAAATACATTTATCAGTACAATTCATGGATTAATTTTTTTATGAAACAGATAAGCTTTTGTAGTTGGTATGGTAAAAATCGTTGCGTGGGTTTCAAACTGATTGTTTTTATTCGTAACGCTTATTCAAGACGGCTGACATCTGAATTACCTCTGTCAAACTGTCCACATCTTTCGGACATGGTTTTTAGAGTCTTTTATTAAGAGCGAGATACTGAAATTCGATTATTTTAAAATGGAGTCAGTCAAGAGAAAATCGTTTTATTTTGTTTAAGTTTGTGACTAATACAAAAACGCTAATAATTTTGAACATAAATACTTGTGGTTTATCAATCCGCCTCTAATTATTCCTCCAAAAAATTTGCTGAATGACGCAATTTATTTTATTTCAATAATCACTGAAATCTACTTGATTTCGTTCAAATTGCTCGTCACCTATTATTCGGCTCCTGTCACTGGAATTTACACTTATCTTCCATGTGTTAAATTTGTTTTTATGGAACGGATAGGTTTTATAGCTGGTGGTGATATCGTAAAAACCATTGCGTGGGCATTAAAGTGATTGTCTTTTTATTTGGAATAGTTGTTTAAGATTTCTGATATCTGAATTAACCCGACCAGATCGTCGCTTGTGAAGGTAAACGTAACTTCGCTACAAAATTCCAGTTACAACTCTTGTTGTTTCTCTTACAAATCTAACCGACTTATAACAGCTTTTCCAATATTTTCCAGATAATTTTGTATGTTATTTTTGAATGTATGAAAACTCTCGTGCTGAAGTCAATTTTGCATGCAAATTTTTTTCTATGGCCACGAGGATGCGTCCCGCATCCCGCGACGTCTGGCTTTCCTAAATAAAAAACTTTTCGGCTATCAAAATCGATTTACCATTAAAATCGTAGTCACGTGATGGCAATTGTGTTCCCCTATAATTTAGAATTAGGCAGGTCGGGCATTATTATCGCATTAACAGTCGGCGCTGCGGTGCCGAAAAATGCCCGAATGAAGACACAAGCAAAAGGATCACCACATCGATTAATTAAAATTGGCTAATTTAGTCAGATTGCCGTAATTACACGCGAGTGTGTCTAATTGAAATTCCTCTAGTTCGGTTATGGCTCATCATCTCTTCTTCCTTTTGGATTATGATTGCTTCATATCTCGTTGGTTGTGATTTACGATGATGGCTCTAGTCCGCTTTCTCTTGTGTGTTTAGGTCTGTGAAGCATTTTATTAAATAGGCGAGCATTTTATTTCGCCACTCCTCGCCCCTTGATTTAGAGCCGTCGTGACGTTTACTATGCAGATCCCGATTCGTCTTCCGACGTCAAGAAATAATAAGGGGGATTAGGACCGATGTGCGCACATAAGTTTTTCTATATTCTTCCATATGCTGATTTACGTTTTGTGCAGTCGTAAAATAGCAGCAGTCGATGCTTGTCATAGGTTGTGTTCTTCAAGTCGTGCCGAGTCGTTGCTTTTTTATTGCGCTTTTTTGCGCGTTTTGCGTAGGGAAGAATGAAGAGGGATTTTTTTCGAAGGTGGATCGGAGTCGCCTCGGGATGATTTAATGCCGAACAGGAGACATCCGACAAAATCGTAAATATGAGAACAAACTTGTTCTACCGATCTAGTCAGCCGTGGATAGGCATGGCTGCAGTCAGGTGTTCGAATAGTTGAACGTCGGGAGGCGGCGATGGTTGACAAAATAATAACACTGAAAATGCTTAAACACTACTTCAACATTTATCTAATTAACAAAAATGCCGGAAAATTATTATAAATCTTACACTATTGTGTGAAATAATAAGCTACAAATTGAGTGAAAGTGTGAAATGCGGTTGTTGTAGGCTATAAGCTTTTTATTCTAAGGAATTATAAGCTACAATAGGCTAAAAAATCTACCTATAACTTGCGATTTCATTGCATAAAGTGTTTTGTAAAATTTTATCAAACTGGTATAGATAAAACGCAAAGAACATAATGATTCGACAAAGCATTATTAAAATTGATTTTTATTGTAATATTTGTCTTCTCTCTGTCGTCTGTCTCTTTGTAGTTTTACGTTCTTCATAGTACGTAAGTTAGACTTAATAACGGGTGATCAAAAAGTGTTCAGGATAGGGTAGGCTATGAAAGAATTTTTCATTTCCTGAAGATGTTGAAAACAAACTTTTTGTCTGTGTGGAATCGTCCTTCGCAATTTTCGCCCCTTTACTCTAGGCAACCTATCATTCATGAATCGGAAAACAAATATAACCTTAATCAAAATTTAATGTGACAAGTTTGAAAACGATTATGTTTACGAGTATAACTACTAAAAATTTGTGAAGTCGTGTGAAGATAATAAACCTTTATGATTTGCTGTACTGCAGAGACAGAGGAAGTTCTCAAAGTAGATACAGGGTAAATCTTACTTAGATTACATTTTTCGAAAAAAATAAACCAACATTTTAAAATTTAAGTTAAAAACTACAAAAACGATTGATCTAAAGTGTTCTATTCACTTTAAGGCTATTATAAATATGGCAAATCGCTAATTAGAATTCATTTGACATTTCTTCTGTCAATTACTTGAGATTTGAGGTTTAATAATGTAATTTCAATGATTCTCAGTTTTCTCGTGTTCTTCTGTTTGAAATAGTTTGAAAGAATTGGAAAGTATATTTTTTAAGAATATGAATAAATCCTTGGGGCTCTTAGTATCTTTTTTAAGAAAGTGAAAAAAATCT